AACCGTTAATCATACAATTCTGTCCAAAGGAAGGACTTCTATCGCGGGGATGCCGAGCGAGGGAACATGCGTCAGAGAACGCCCCAGGATCTTCGCAGGAAGAGTGTTGACGCTCATGGGGCTGGCCCAGTGCCGCCGCGCGTGGCGGCGATTCGCGGACGTACTTACGACAGCATGCGAGAAAACGCAGAGTTGGTCCACGTTCCAGTGTTTGCGCTGTTGGGCGAGCTTTCGGGAGAAGAGTTCTCGCGGGCAGTTTCGCGCCTTCGGGCAGGAGATGATTCGGGCGACTGGCCGGGCAATCTGCCCCGAACGACTATATGCAGCGCTGTCTCCGCTCGCGATGCCCACTGATGCTCCCGGCTTAGCCGGCGCAGCAGAAATTGGCGCAGAGAGCCCGCTCGTGCTGGGGAGTGACAAATTCTGGAGGCGGTGCAGTCACCGTGACAACGGCGCAGCAGTTGGCGTCGCGGAGCACGCGACTAATCTAGCATGACACTGTCCGGACTTTGCTCGATCGTCTGGGGTTGGATAAACTTCGGAGATCTCATTGATAAAATTGAAGCTGATGGACTGACGCGCTGCGCGACTGCCCTGGCGGTGCACGGCTCGGCCGCTTTGCCGCCCGGGGCCGTGGGAGTCTTCGGAATCAGAGCCCGAGAACTCGACGTCCCGGGGAGCTCGAAGCCTGCGGATTATTGGCGCGACTTCCTTAATCCATTTGCTTCTCGCGACTGGGGGCGACGAGGAGGAAACGGTTTCCTTAGATATAGACAAGCGTGAACGCGGACCACTTTCTGTTTTCTATCGCGTATGTCAGGGGTGCTCATGTTTTGCCCCCAAGGTCGAGCGAATGTGCGCTCCGTATGAACTCGGCCCAGTGAAATGCCATGGGCCGCTCTTGCGCGCGACGGGTCGAGATGCCATCGAGGATTCGAAGGCTGGAGAGGGAATCGTTCGATTCCCTGACAGAGCTGAAGGACTATGCAAGGAAGATGATTACGGCCTTCTCCGTCTCATTCCGACGAGGCGTGACTTCACCGAAGATCAGAATCATTCCCCTTTGGCTCAGCCAGTGGAGGGATGGGGGGGGCCCGCCGCTAGACAATTACTGGAGTCCGGGCTTTGGCCCGACAGAGCAGGGACTTCCGTGTTCAGGTTCGTGGCCGGCTAACGTCGCGCCAATGCTTTGGGAGCTTGCAGATGTACGCAATGCTAGTTGGCTAGTTGGTCTTATGTAATTGTATTTAGTGTGCGCGTAACGGGGCGCGCCCGATGCCGAATATGTCGCGACAGTGCGCTTGTGACGATGGGGGGGGGGGGGGGGGCAATATTCAATGACATAGCTCATATTGTAAATTAAACCCTATCCCGGATTCTACACCACAGGTGGTTTGGACCTTAGTTGTCTCCCACGGATGGGCTGCCTTTCGAAGTTGTATTCGCCCATGATTCAGTCGTCGGGTGGACGCGCGCTGATGAAGTGATTCGGTCCGGTGACCATCGGTGGGGCGAGTGTGAGCTTGAGCTCTTGAGGGGCCCGCTGTGGACGACGACGGGAGATTTATTGGCCCCGACATGCAAATTTTTGCCGACTCATTTGCGAGCATGGGGTTGGAGTTCGATGTAGTAGATTGTCCGAGACGCGCGAGCGAGTCACTTGTGATCATGAGAAAGAGCTTCACTGATGCATTGGATAACTTGAATAAGAGCAAACATCATATGCGCAAATGTGTTGCAGATAAGAACGGAGCTCGTAGAACATTCGCTCCGGATGGTCGGACCTTCTCCAACCAACAGGCAGGAACCGTTTCGACTTGGGTTCCTGATAGTGTCGCGGCTCAGCCGCCAGCGCGTTGCGTTCCGTTCTTCCAGTTCTTTGAGCCACTGAAGCTTTGCTTCATGAGTTGGCTTGTTCACGATGCTAATCTGGAGAACAGGCAGCTTCCGACTGCGGCGACATGGTGGCCGTTAATATGGTTTTCCGACGTCGATCAGTATTCTCGCCCTTTTCAGTGTCCTGCTCTTGCCGTCTTCGACTGGCCCGATGCAGAGGGCAAACAGCTCCAACCAACTGAAGGGTGGGATGGGTGGGCGGCGATCATGCGAGTAATGGGCGTAACAATCCCAATAGTAGATGCGCTCACCGAACGATTAAATCGCATCGATGCGCAAGTTTCAGTTATTGTTGGGTATATCAATTATCAAGCAATTGCATCGCTTTGCGCTCGGCCCAGCACGAAGGCGTATTCAATTTGGCTCGTGATGAACTTGCTGAAGGATCAAGGGGCGGTCTGCCCGGATGATTCATTGCAGCGCGATTCAAACTGGAGCCCCCTGGGCCTCCTGGATCATCAATGCCCTTTTTGCTTGATTTAGTTCCCCTGATGGGACATCCGCCCGAAGCGATGCGAGACCATCCGGATAATCCATTGGCGCATGCAAGCACGGACCGGCAGATTGCGCAGTACGATGCAAAGACACATGTCGTCACCAATCGACGTGATGCTATTAAAGTTCTCGCGCAATGTGTCCTCGAGTGCTTAGCCGCGCCAGGCGCTGCAACGAGACTGGGCGCGGACGTGGTTCACGAAGTACCTCCAGGACTAATCGAACTCATCGAAAGAATGCGGAATGAACCCTGCCATAGGGCGCCCGCGCATCAGCGATGGGGTAGAATCCCCCATGTTAGTCGTGAGATTGTACTCTCACTTATGACAGCCGCGAACTGCAGCGCCCGATGGGGGCTGAAGATATTAACCTTACCCCTAGGTTGACTGACGCCTTTGCGCTGGACAGCCGTATCAGGTCGGCGATTCAATCGTCAGACTTGCTGGAGACGTGGGCTGATGGTTTGGGCAGCGAGGTTCGAAGGGAAGTTCGACGTTGTTGTGCTGACATTCAAGTGCTATTGAGGTTATGAACTCTTTTCGTGATGGTATCCCCATGACGAGAACACGCTTGGCTATCGACCGTCATTGGCACTTTGTTTCGGGCGCAGCTAGTGGCATCCATAGACACATCATGAGCATTACCGAGGAGGTCGGCCTAGCCGAACCTTCCCCCACAGCTCCCGTCGACCCTGTCGCGTCGGGAACTGGTGTCGAACACTCTGGAGGCTCAGTGGCCCCGAGTTCGGGCACCGAAGCTCCGGGCGGTTCTGCCGTTTCGGAGTGGGTCAAGACGAGAACTGCCGAAAGCAAGCGGAGGCCCCAAACGCCTCCGAGGCGCCCTACTGATGCCACATATGACGCTCGGCATGGCTGGCATGAAAGACACGCCTACAGGCGCGGCCCGTGCAAACCAGTGTCCGCCAGCTCAGCCTCGTCGGGCGCCGACCCGGACCGCGATCGTAGGTCGCGTGGGCCCCCCTACTGGCAGGAACGAGTGGGATCGGCCGTTCGCGCGGGCTGATGAGCCCGTAGATGATGTAGGCGGCCGCGGGCGCGATGGCTGCTGGGGCCCCTCGCGCGACCATGCCGACATGTGCGACCGCGGCAACGTCGTTGGACATTGGGTTCGTATTGATCGCCGCCAACAAATAACGGGGAGCAGAATAACATGGTATCGGTTCGCCGTGGGGGAGTATAACAGACACTTCGTGAGAGAGTCCGAAGATGAGTCGTTGGGGGGGGACTGGGCGCCCCGGCGACAGGCTCGGTGAAAACTGGGCAAGTGCCCGCGGGAAGCCCAGTCTCCGAAGATCCAGCTCGCGAGGTGCTGCCAGTGCGTCTTTGCCCATGCCGCCGCTGCGCCGACGCCCGGGGCGAGGCTGGCCGACGAGGGCAAGAGCAAGGACAAGAACATCGGCCAGGGCCGTGGAAAAAACAAAAAAAACCAAAGAACCTGACGACCACCGCAGGCGAGGCCAACCTCGGTGGAACTGGCGAACTAGCCATGCTTGGAATCATCCTCAACGCCGAGCAGGAGAGTGGTGGGGGTCATGCATTACAGTCGGACTGGTACGACTTCGTCGGTATCAATGCCGCGTCGCTTGGCTTCGCCAAGTTGATGTGGGTGCGACAGGAGTAGAACATATTTGTGGAATGAGCTGGCTATAGATATAGCTGTTGGGGTACGTCGGTTTGTTTCGGGCTGGCGCCCCTCGGCGATCACGGTCGAGCCGTGAAATGGTTTCGGGGGCTGGCTCCCGTGGCTGTGCATATGTGCAGGCCGAGTGGGTGGGGGGTCGGCGCAGCCCTTCTCGCCCCGCAGCTTGGGGGGTCAAAGCGCTCGTCTCCGCGCCGCCATCCTGTTGTCCTTGCCATCATTGCCGTTGTTCTGACTGTCTGCCTACAGCCACTCACACTCGAGAGGTGTAAGAACAGGAGCGATCTGGCCCGCTCGCGCGAAGGCCGGCCGGCCGGCCTCCTCACTGCGTGCATATTTCTCTTGTTCGCTTAACGGAACACTCCTTCCTGGCCGTGGCTTCGGCGGAGGTGCCTGATCTTCCTCCGCGGGAGTTACCTCTGGGGGCATTCGAGACTACATCGGAACGTAATGCAGGGATTATCAATATCCTGGCATAAAGCTTGAAAAAGGTGGGCCACTTCTGCGGCTGAGCTTCCAGATGTGCTTCGCGTTGTTCTCCAATCAGAGCTTGCCTTGGTAGGGGTTCTTAGCGGATTCATATGTGTAGGTGACCTACGTCGCCGATTTCGGTGGCGTGCCTGGGTGCCCGGGTGCCCGGGTGCCTGGGTGCCGTGGTGCCCGGGGGTGCCAGGTTGCCCAGGGGTGCCCGGGTGCCCAGGTCCCCAGGTGCCCGGGTCTGCCCGGAGGTGCCCGGAGGTGCCTGGGGGTGCCCGGGTGCCCATGTGCCCGGGTGTCTGGGTGCCCGGTAACCCTATAGTCCCATAGTTCTACAGTTTTATAGCATTATGGCTCCATAACCCAAGAACCCTATAACCCCATAGCTTTATAGCCTTATATTCCTATACCCTTATAGCCGTATTTTCTTTTATCCCCATAGCTCTGTAGCCTTATAGCCCTATAGACTTATAGCCTTATAGCCTTTTATCCCTACAGCCCTACAGCCCTATAGCCCTATAACCCTACAGCCCTACGCTTCGGACGAGGCCCAGCCCGCGCGGGGGGGGCGGCCTGTCCGCCTGGCGAGCCCCTGCCGCGTTGAATCTGACCAGGGCCCGAGGATGGACCAGCCCCGGGGGAGGCTTGGAGCCTGGGCGCAGGCCTTCTGCGCAGGAGCTCCTGACGAGCCGCCCGACGCGCCCCCCGGGCAATGGCTGGGGAGCTCCCGCTCGGAAGCCAGGGTGCTCTCGCAGCACCTTGGCTGCGCCCGGACGCTGCTGGAGGACCGTCCGAGCGCGGCGAGGGGGCGCCCGGCTACCTCGCGCGGACACTTCTCCGCCTCTTGGTCTACGCGGCCCGCTGCTTTATCCCCTGCTGGGTATGCTTGGCCTGGGGGCGTGTCCAGCAGGACCCCTGCGCGGCGCCTCGCGAGGGGGGGGGCTCCTCCCGCGGCATCTTCGCGGAGGCGGGGTTCCCCATCAGGATGTTCATCCGGGTCGCCCAGGGGATGGCCGCCTGCACCTGGGGAGGGAGGGATCTGTAGCGGATGGCCCTTGGTGTGCCGACTTCCCCCAAACCGCCCGTGGGGGGTTGGGCCAGCGCGCCATGAACGTGAACCCAGCCCACCAGGAGAAGACCAAACGAAATCTGGCCCGCGCGGCGTGGCGCCTGTGCGCGCCCTTGGAAAGCGGAGTTCAGGTCCGCGGAATGCCATGGGAATGAACTCTCAAGTGGAATTCGTTTGCGTGAGTGGGCGAGGTCGGGGGCCCCTGCGGGCCATGGTGGCGGGGGTCTAAGACGGACTCTTCCCATTGCCCGCCGCAAAAAGGGGCGGGCCCCCCTTCTCCCCTTGTTGTGAATGGGTCAGCGGGCAGCATTTTTCTGTGTCATTGGGATCCCCTTCTTTGACAGTTTACTCTTGCCCCTTGCATCTCCCTCTCCTGACTCCTTTCCCCTTGCAGCCGTCTTGCTTGAGCGGTTTCAGCTGCCCTTTCTCCCCGCCCACCCTGCGGGTTACCCCCCGTCGTGGGGCGGGGGTCCAAGACGAACTGTTCCCGTTGCCCGCCGCAAAAGGGAGCGGGCCTTCCCATCTCCTCCGGCTGTGAGTGGGCCGTCGGGCAGGAATTTATATTTATGTGTGTGTATATATATGTATATATATATATATATATATATATATATATATATATATATATATATATATCACATGTTTTGCGCCGCATACATTGGCCCACGCATGTTGCACAACGTCCATGGTATCTCATAGATCGCACCACATCTACTGCGCAACATAGGATGCACAATGTAAAGTGTTCAACATAACTTGCACATCTATTGCTCCGCATAACTTGCTACGCATCGTTGTCTTCAGCTGTCCACTCCCTTGTCCTTATATATATATATATATATAGATATAGATCGAGTCTTTCCACGGCTATAGGGCTGTGGGGCTATTGGGGTATGGGGCGATAAGCTATGGGGCTTGGGCTACAAAGCTATAGGGCCATAGGGCTACAGGTCTATAGGTCTATAGGGCTATAAGGCTATAGGACCATAGGGCTATAGGGCTGGAGGGCTATAGGGATGGGGGGCTCTGGGGCTCTGGGGCTATGGGGGCTATAGGGCAATAGGGCTATGAGTATAGAAGTCTATGTGGCTACAGGGCTATAGGACCATAGGGCTATAGGTCTGTAGGGATATAGGGCTATGGGGCTTTAGGTCCATGGGGCTGTAGGGCTATAGAGCTATAGGGCTATCGGGCTATAGGGCTACAGGTCTATGGGGCTATGGAACTATATGGCTATGGGGCTCTAGGGCTCCTAGGGCTATAGGGCCATCGGGCTATAGGGCTATAAGGCTATTGAGCTATAGGGTTACAGGGCGATGCGGCTACAGGGCTATAGGGCTTTTAGGCTTTTGGGTTGTAGGACTATAGAGCTTTAGGGCCATAGAGCTATAGGGCTTCAGGGCGATCTGGCTATAAAAGGTGTAAGGCTCTATGGCTATAGGGCTGTAGGGCTATTGGGTTAGAGGGCTATGGGGCTATAGCGCTTTGGGGCTATAGGGCTATATCGCTATATTGCCATAGGTCTATGGGGCTATAGGGCTATAAGGCACCGCCCGGACACCTGGGCGGGCCACGAGCTTGCCTGTGTATGGGCCCTGGCGGATTCACATGCTTAGGTGGTGCTTGCCACCGATTCCCGCGGCGCGTCCTATAGCTTTATCGCCCTATAACCCTATAACCCTATAACCCTATAGCCCTACAGACCTATAGCCCCATGGCTCTATGGCCATATGGCCCTATAGCCCTATATCACTATAGCGATATAGCCCTATAGCCCTACAGCCTCATTACCTTATAGCCCTGTAGCACACCAGCCCAATAGCCCAATAGCCCTATAACCATACATCCCTGTAGCCTTATAGTTTTATAGCCCTGCAGCCCTATCGCCCTAGAGCCTTATAGCTCTATAGCCTTCCAGCCCTGTAACCATATAACCCTATCGCCCTAGAGCCCTACAGCCCTAGAGCCCTATAACCCTATAGCCTTATAGCCCTATAGGCGTATAAGTTAATAGCTTTATAGCCCTACCGCCCTATAGCCCTACATCCTTATGGCCCTATAGTTCTCTATGTCCACAACCCTACAGCTCTATAGCCCCATCGCCCTATATCCCTGTAGCCCTATAGCCCTACGGACCTATAGCCGCATAGCCCTATAGCCCTATAGCCACATAGCCCCAGTTTATTATATCCCCTTGCTCTATAGCCCTACAGCCCTATGGCCCTATAGCCCTATAGCCGTATAGCCCTATATTCCTGTAGCCCTATAGCCCGATGGCCCTATAGCCCTATAGCTCCATAGCCGTATAGCCCCATAGCCCCATAGCTTGATAGCCCAGCAGCCCCATAGCCCTATAGCCTTCAATAAGCTTTGATATGTTTTTTCCTCCGGTATCACATTCATATGTGTGTATGTTGGTATGTATGTATGTATGCATGCATGCATTACATATATATATATGGATCCACTTAGGTTGCACACCGTCTACTTCTCAAAGTGCGGGCTGGGGTCCACGCTGGCTAATCGACGAATTCATCCTTATAAGATTTGTGTATGTAGGTGGAACGACGCATACGAGTGCATAGGCAGGTGGAGACGGATAAACACCACCAAACGCGGACGGTGACAGACGAAGGTTTAACATTACATGCGGCTACGGAGGGAGGCAGACTAGAACGTACGTGTAGAGGTAGATATAGCGATGCGAAGAGGATTATAGAAATATTTTCAGCGAGCGACAAACAAACGGACAACAAGAGGCTGACACATGGACGAATCGAAGGGGACAGTTCATGCTGGTTAGCAGACCTGCAGGCAGAGGGCAGGTTACAGAAGCGGATCGTTAAACATATATGGTCACATAGAGTTGCCAAGGCGAGAATTTGGGCAGCGTCAGAGACAGACGAACATACGTGTTTTTCGTTGGCTGGGTGGCTTCCTCATCTCATCCAGCTTGTGTGCATGTTTGTACGCACGCACGCACGCTCTAGTTCTTTAGATCGTAGTTGTGAGTTCGGCGATGGAACAGTGGCCAGCTTCGCAGTCTGAGACGCTGTGGAGGTACCCGAGCGTAGACGACAGTGTAAGAACTTAAAAACCATATCCAGGATGATATGGAGACGACAAATGTAATCATGTTAACGTAGACTCAGGGAAAGCGCGAGAACGAGGATGGGCAACGAGGCAGAGATAAACAACAATAGATGGACAGGTAGTTTGAGAGAGGAGGGACTAAGAGACAAAGACACGGACACCGCGCAGTTTGGTTCGCTCCACCTTCTAAACCGTAGTCCTTCTCGGATTCTCTTGTCGGCCAGGTATCTGCATCGCCGCTGGCTTCGCGCTGGTCAACGAGACCGTAACAAAAAAACTCTGCCGGAAGTTATTATCGCCAGAGATTACCAATAGGCTTGCCTATCTTGGGCACCGGCCTGCTATCCCTGCTCCGTGAGATCTGTTAGCTTGTTGTTCATCTTTGTTCCCTGGGGAAGCGGAGTTGAATTTGTGTGGATTTATTTGCGTTAAGACGCTTATGATCGCACAAACGTCACTCGAATTCCTGAGAAGACCCTCGTGCGCTTTTCTTTCAGGCCGTGTTAAGTCCAGATAGTCTGAACTGAAGCTGAGGATGTTGTTTTGGCATCTTGTGTATACAATCGGGTCGTGGTGAAGGCCTCTTGAAGACGCGTCCGGGGCTGTATGGGCCCTCTCTCAGGATCCTCTGTGGCTGTCTGGGAAGTCACTTGGGGGCCTCTTGGTCCGTCTTGGAAGCCTCTCCTATATTATGCATGCTGGCGTCTTCGGCCTCATATTCGAAAAAGGACTCCTTGGCGCCCAGCGGTACGCCAAGGTTGGCAGTTGGGACCATTGGGTAGAGGGAGGGGTTTGCCCAGGGACTGCAATGATTGGGAGGAGGAGCTTAGGGAAGTACTCGCAGGTCGCGGGAAAGAGAGAGAGGGCGGTATCACACTTTTGGGCCGTACCATTTGTTTGCTTCAATTTCATTTCTAGAACCACCCACCTATCCAAGCCAAGGCCCTGTCCACCTATCCCTGTCAAGAACCAACCTCCGTGTGATGGCGGCCTCTCTGTCTGTTTGTCCGTCTTTATGTCCCTCTCTCTCTCTCTCTTTGGGATCTCTCTGGTATTACAAACACGGAATGCCCTTTGTACGTTGGCGATTTGCTCGCTTTACTATGGTAGCTTTTGGCACTCGTTGGCATCATGCGTGTTTCCCTTCTGCCTTTAGGATTTTTCTTGCCTCAACATGTTGCCCTCTTCTGACTCGTGTGCGCTGAACAAGGCCACCAGAGGCTGTGTGCAAGCACCCTGGTATGCCGTCTGGGCATGTCATGAACGCCTACACTTTGATGACGTGGACGCTCGTTGAGGTCGTCCTCGATGGTAAGAGTTGAGGACATGTTGAACCAGTTTGTTGGGTACGCATGGTCACTTCTTGTGGAGCATGTATTTGACGTGTCGGAGTGTAGGGATGGGCATTTGCACGTTCAGGCCAAATTGCTTTTCTGTGCCATCACAAGCAGCCTGTGCGATTGTACTAGTTGTCAACTGAAGAACGCACATAATCTTCGACTCGTGCCTTTCAACTTTTGCATTTTGCTACAGATGCTACCGACGTGCTACTGCATGTTTACGCTCTAGTCCCACGTGTCAAAGAAGACGGTGTACTGCAGGCACCGAGCAACGGTCGCCTAATAAGGCGTCGCTCGTGTGGTTGCGAGACTCCTTTTAGGTCCGACGAGACCTGCTCGTGTGGGACTCCTCGTGTCGGACTCCGCTGTTGGACTCCTGCTGTACCCTGTAACACGTCCTGTTGTCCACCAGCTCGGAACTCAAAGTCCGAATGCACTGCTGGAAGCCTCTGTTTTGCATGGAAACGAAAGCAGGACGCTTGCATTAGACATGCAAAACAAACTGAACAATCTTCAGCGCAGGATGCTCCATATGATCTGTGTGTGTGTGTGTCGAGACGGCCACTATCATCTGGCTCGCCCCCCGACGTAGGACCCGGTTCGATTCGATCCATCCGGTTCGACCCCGATGAAATCTGTGAAAGAGTGTGTCCTATCGCTGCTGGCGGTAAACCGGGAGGGGGGGTCATTGGGGGCTCCCAGCCCGTCCCCCCTCCCTCTCGAAAACGGGGGGGGGTCACTTCGGTTCGAAACCCCTCCCCCCCCAGTCCATCATGAAAAGGGGGTGGTTCACTACCGGTTCGAACCCCCCCCCCTCGAAAAACCGGGGGGGTCACTACTGGTTCGAACCCAACCCCCCTCGCCGCAGGCAAACGATTCCCGCTCCTCGGGACAGTTGGACAGTGGTGGGGATATTGGGACAGTGGTGGGAACAGTAGTGGTGGGGACAGTGGTGCGGGGACAGTGGGACGGTGGTGCGGACAGTGGTGGGGACGGTGGTGGTGGGGACAGTGGTGAGGGGACAGCGGGACAGTACAGTGGTGGGGACAGTGGGACAGTGGTGGGGACGGTAGTGGTGGGGACAGGCGAAGGTGGTGGTGAGGACGGTGGTCGGACAGTAGTCCAGTGGGGAGAGTGGTGGGGACAGTGGGGACAGTGGAACAGTGGTGGGGACAGTGGGGACAGTAGGACAGCACAGTGGGACAGCGGCGGGGACAGTGGGGACAGTGGGACAGTGGTGGGAACAGTGGGGACAGTGGGACAGTGATGGGGACCTTGGTAAGGTGGGCAGAGTGGGACCGTGGTGGGACAATGGTGGGGAGAGTGGGGACACTGAGACTCTGTTGGGGGCACTGGTGGGGACAGCGGGGACAATGTTGGGAACAGTGGGGACAGTGGGACAGTGGTGGGGAGGACAGTGGTGCTGGGGACAGCAGTGGGGGATGTGGTGCGGACGGTGGTGGGGACCCTGGAGTCGTTTGCCGGCGGTGAGTGGGCGGAGGGGTTCGACCCGACAGTGCCCCCCCCTGGTTTTCTGGATCGGGGGGGGTGTTCGAACCTGACCCCTTTCGGTTTTCTGAATGGGGGGGGGTTCGAACTGGTAGTTACCCTCCCCGGTTTTCCAGAGGGGGGGGGTTCGAACCGGTAGTGACCCCCTCTGGTTTTCCGGAGGGGGGGGGGAGGGAGGGGTTCGAACCGATACTGACCCCCTCTGGTTTTCCGGAGGAGGGGGTTAGGGAATTAGATTGTGTACGAATTCGGGGTAAGAGGCTTCATAACCATCAGAGATGTTCGAGATATGTTTGAATGTTTTTTTCGATTATCCGTATACGTTATGGCTCAAGCCATCAATGGTTCGACAGCTCACGCTTGAAAACTAACTTTGGTAGCGCTGATGTGGTGGCAGGTCCTTTGAGACTCGCCGTCTCTCTGCCCTCAGCTTCGCCGTTCTGATTCCGGCTCAGCGTCGATGGCGACGAGAACTTTTCATGTACCAGCAGCAGCAGAAGTACGCGAGCAACATCAAGGGGATCATCGTACGCGTTTGTGCAGCTGCAGTTTCACTTATCCTCATCACCATCGACAGCACAGACACCTGGCACGGCAAGTGGACGCACTTAGCCATGGACTACGGAGATACCTCAGGCAATGGTGGCGGCATCCCGCTCGACACGTTCAACAAGAACACGCCCGCGCTACATCCAACTACTTAGGCTGTGGTGGAGGCAGACAGATCTAGCAGAACATGCAGCAGGTCCAGCGATGGCTGGGCGCCTCAGAGGTTCGGCGTTCCAGATAGCAATGAAGATGAAGCGCGACAGGCTGGACCTCAATGCTGGAATACGACGCGAGATGGAAGGAGACGAACTGCTAGCTCAACCCTCACACCCTGAATGGCAAGACGCTGCGGGCGTCCAACACCCGGCTGAGCCAGCAGGAGCTTCTGTCCTAATGGACGTTTTCGTTCAGGAGTTCGAAGTTCAAGATCAAGATATGTCAATCGTGGTTTTGTCAAGTTTCTTCTCACTCACCAGAGGCCATATTCCAAGAAATGACTTCCTTACGATGTTTCGTTTATGTTTCGAGGAGGCCTCGGACAAAAGAGGCCTGCAGCTCAACAACGTCGGAAATAGTTTCTTGTTGCTACAGATGTCAGGTCTTTCAGAGAAGATGAGAACCGACTTGCGTATGCAGATTCAAGGAGATCTCAATCGCTTCCTTGAACTCATAGCCTTGATGCAGAGAATGGCCAATCATGAATATCAAGGAAAGACATCTTCATTTCCCGCAATGGTCTCACAGTACTGGACAGATGAAGGCACATACTGGGAGTCGGACTACGACAGTCCAGAGACCTGGGCATCAGACGGTTCCTGGATGTGGGTTGGCTATGATGATGAATTGCAAGAAGGTTCCTACTACGAGGATGGCGCCGACTGGGATGGCAACTACGACGAAGAGAATGGCCCCTACCACGAGGACGAGCACGGGGGCTACACAGAGGAAGACTACTATGGAGGAGGTGGCCAAGGACGTGGCAAAGGACGAGGCCGCGGTGGCAGGAAAGGACGAGGAGGCCACACAAACGGAGGCAAGGCATCATCTTCGAACGGATGCACTACATGTGGCTCTCCACTGCACTCAAGCTCGGACTGCCCTATTGTCAAGTCTTCTTCGGGTTCGCCGTCCAAGACGGGCGACTACTACGGCAAGAAGGGCAAGTACCGCAGCAACAACAACAACAAAGGAAAGTATCGATGCAACAAGTCCAAGTCAAGCAAGAACAGCAAGGACGGACGCTCGAATGGCAAAGGTTTGGGCAAACCCTGGCGAAGCAACAGCAACAGCAAGGGCAAGAGGAACGGCGAGAGTAGTAGCTACTACGAGGACGACTCATGGCAGTGCGAAGACTATGATGGAGAACTCAGTTGTTTTTTCACGGTGTGTTTGGCTCATATGATGGAGGCGCGACAGCTCCAAGGCCAGAGCTCTTCACCCTGGGCTTGCCATCAGCATCGATAGCAGCTGGGCCGAATATTACCCTACCTGTCAAGCAGGCCGTCCAGCTGGGCACGAAGTTCGATGCAGATGCAGCAGTTGTGACGCCCACCGAGCAGACGACGGTCTTTAATTCTCCTACATATCAGTCAGCATCTGCGTCTGGGACGTCGTCAGCATCAGGAGCAGCCCGACCTCCGGCAGGCCTGCTGCTCAATAAGTCCATCTTCATGGCGATGGCGACGATCAACATGGCGGGCGACTACCCAGCGAGCAGCGAGACGTTCGGCACCATGCGCGTGGTTCAAGGTGTTGAAGGACTGGGACTCCTAGTCGATTCAGGAGCATCCTCAGCCCTCATGGGCGCCGACACGCTGCGCGTCTACTTGGACAAGACCGTTGAGCCAATGGGTACATGAACGAGGTGCACTTCGGGCCCTCTACGTCCATGTTCACAGGAGTTGGAGGCATGCCCGAACCTGGACTACGAGTATGTACCATGCCTCTCGGAGTTCCATGGCTGCCAGGAGCTGCATACTCGACCGACCTGATTGGCAACAAAGGTTCGTCATGTCCTGGGCTGATGCCGTTACCGAGTATGGTGTATTGCAGTGCGTTGGTAGCTTGCGGTGTCTCTGACAACCGCGACGGCATCAGGATCATTCCAGTTCCTGGCAAACACAAGCATGATCCTCCTCAAGTGGCACTGGTTCGGATTCTCTACACCGACTCGATTCACCACCTTCTACCAACATATAGATTCGAACAGACTGCGCAGGAGATATCTGAGGAACGACGAGATCTTTGGAAAGTTCTGAAGGCCCACTGGTTTGACAATTGTCAACGAGGAGTATCGGCAAACATCGAGTGGGCATTCAACTTCAACAGGTCCGAGATCGTAGGTCCGCCACCCAAAATGGCTAAAAGGACAGGTATCGGACTCGTTCAAGATCCTCCGACAGAAGCTCCAGCATCAAGCAGTCAAGTGAACCGCGAAGTTCAGCAAGCAGCAGTTTCGCTGGCAGCAGCGGCCCTGTTTGCACCAGATCGTCAAGGTTTCCAACGCCTGAAACAGCATCATAGCCAAAATCTTACCTCCAGCTGGATGAGTGTACCAGGTCAGACCTACTCTCAGGATCTCTCGCCAGAAGACATGGAGGAGCAGGAGAGACAGCAGCTGGAGAAGTACTACGTATGCATGCCCGAGGAGTTCTACTATTTCAGTGGCCTGACCGTCATCACTCCAGACAATGCGGAAGAGTGGTGTCAGCATGTATCCAAGCAATTTCACGATCTGGATTTATCGAGAGCATGAGTGGCTCTGGCAGGCTCTCTTTGTGTGCGTACATGTCAGGCTTGGCGATCAGCTTCCCGCGAGATTTCAGGTGCGGCTGGGGCCTACGTCGTAAGGTTCATCGAGACCTACTCGACAAGATCGGCAAGGGGCTGCCCAGTCTGGCAGAGTTCTGGTCACCAAGATGTTCACCATGGTCGGCATCAACAGTCATGAAGGAGGCCTCAATGCTCCAAGCATCCCGCCAAGCAGAATGTCCCGACTTGCATTGGGTTGCACAGCGGCTTCGAAAGGTACATCGAGATGGACGAGCAAGTGTTCTTGAGAACCCCAGGAGCTCGGTCACCCTCGCGCAGTCGCCGCTCAAGTCCACCGCTTCACTGGGTGCGTTTGGACATCTTGATCACTGCCAGCTTGGGGCAGCAGATCCAGCTTG